TGCCGGTGGCCGGCGCGTCCGGGCCAGGCTGCCCTGGCCCCTCCAGGGACACGTGCCCTGGGCTGACAGCGGGGCCTGCACAGGCCCAGGACCAATGCTGGTGGGGTCTGAGCCTCCTGGTCCCTTCCCATGGCTGCTCCATCGCTGGCCCTACTCTGTCTGGGAGCAGAGATCTCCTTACCATGGTGGCTCCGTCACTGGCCCTACCCCATCTGGGAGCAGAGATCTCCCTTCCCATGGCTGTTCTGTTGCTGGCATTAACCCATCTGGGAGCAGAGACCCCTCTGCAATGAGGATGAGGGCGGCAGCGGTGGTGGAAGAAGGGCGAGTGAGCGGAAAGCGGGGGAGATGGATGGCAGGAGGCACGAGCCCCCTGCCTTCGCCTGTCGGAGAGGCAGCTTCTCATCTCCTTTCGGAGACACATCCTTATTACTGCTGATGCTGGGATTAAATCCCACTGTTTCCTGCTTGGTGCTCTCCAGCCCCAGTGCCATGGAGGGGAGGTGCCCACCCTGGCTGGCACCACACTCACCACATGCTTGTTGCATACTCGTGCCCAGCACACGTCCTCTCCCTCAGAGCCACGCTGCGAACAAAGGGTCCCCGGTGCAGGACCCACGATCCTACTGTCCCAGACCCACGCTGCAAATGAAGGGTCCCTGGTGCAAGACCCACGATCCCCATCACCATACGTCCTCCAGGAACCCGCTGTGCCCTGTGTCCCACCTGCTCTGTCTTCCTGCCTGGAATCCTTGCTGTAGGCATGCCCTGAGGTTCACTCCTCTAATTGCCAGCTGCATGTGCCCCATGGCACACTGCTCTTATCCCTGTCAAACCAGCCCTTCCCAGTGGCATCTGAGGAGCTTTCCCATCACCTCTCGTGCTCTGGATCTGCAGTCAGCAGAGTTGGCTCCAGACTCCCCTTGGGAGAAGACCCTGACCCCAAACTACCATTTGCCCACTGCAGAGTGACTCAAATCTCAGCCTGGAGCCTTGTGGAGCCGCTCTGTTGAGATGGAGGAGCCAGATCTTTCCCCTTCACTACCAGCTGGGCAAGGCTGGATGGGAGCAAAGCCCATGCCTGTGCCAGGTGAGACCATCACTCAACTCTGAGCAGGTTGCTGTTCCCCTGCTAGAAATACCAACAGGATTAAAAGTACTCTGGGAAGCACCTGGAGGACCCACACAGCGGGACTGCCTCAGCTGAGTGGGCAACGCAACCCAGCTGCTCCAGGCAACATGAGAGCTGGTCCCTGGGACCGCCCATGCAGCTGTGTAAAGCACTGATTGCATGCCCGTGGCTGGAGCTGCACCTCGAGGCCATGGCTCTGTCCCAGTGAGTGCTGAGCTCACCGAGCTGCCTCTCTGCCCGCCTGATCAGGAGGCACAAGCTGCAGGCAGGCGAGAGCTTTCCTCCTCTCGGAGAGACTCTGCCATGGGAGAATGGTTTGCAGGATCTGCTGGGATCTGGGTGCAGGCTCTGGAAGTGCTGGCTGTAAGTGTGGGGTTTGTGAGGGGCTGGGTGGGGGCTTGGCAGAGTGTGAACACAGGGGGAATAGCAATCCTGGGGGTCAGAGCTCCTGGCACAGAGTGAAGGAGGTGCTGCTGGCCCTGGCTGCTACCCCAGCCCAGGTAGGACCTGGGTGCTGGCCGGGGTTCTGCAACTGTGGGGCAGAGACTGCAGTGGTTGTGGGGGTTCTACGCTCACCAGGAGCGGGGTTGTTAGAGCCAGCAGCCCTTCCTCCTAGCAGGGCATTGTTGGATTTTGGTTGCTTTTGGGAAGAGAAGGGATGGCTCTCCAGCTCAGAAGCGTGTCTCTGCCCTTGTCTGGTAGCGGCTGGTGCTCAGTACCTGCTTGGGGGGTCTGCGCTGGTGCTCAGTCCCTGCTTGGGGGGTCTGCTGCGAGCTGTGTCTGCTTCTCTTGGTGCTGGCTGGGCAGGTATCTTGTGGGTGCTGGTTCCTCAGGTGTGAGCTGGGCACGGAGCAGGGACACAAGAGGGGGGCCCCTGGTGATGCAGAGGCATTGGGGGTGGGGTGGTGTCTGTCTGCCCTCACAGCACTTGCTCTGTCAAGCAGACCTGGAAAGAGGAGCAGGCCCTGGCATCGGTGACTGAGGACAGCATTGGCAGTAGCTGTGAGACCCTGTGCTCTGTGTCTGTGGGAGAAGGGCTGGGGCAGGAAGGGCGTAGGTGCCCACTGGCATGTCTGCTAGCTCGGAGGTGAGCGTGCTGTCTCGGAGAGTACAGTAAACATGTGCTACGGGGACTAAACATCACTGCCAGCAGGGAAGGTAAACAGATGACTGTCTTATGCCATTAAATATGTGGGATCTGGAGAGAGATGGGTCAGTTTTAGGCTGCTCTTCAGAGAAAGCCAATGTGTTCTTCTGTTCAGAGGCGGTGGTGAGTTTTGAAGCAGCAGGCCTGAAACCACAGCTGGATTTGTAAGCCAAGAGCACTTTGTCCTCAGGAAAGGCAAGGCAGTGCCTGAACTCCAGGGAGACAAACAAGCAGCTCCTTTTAAAGGATTTATGCTCTCTTAACTGGGTCTGCGCCCACAGAGGTGTGCCCCTGCAGGGCTCTGCGTCCTACAGGTCTCGGTTCCAGGCTCTTGGGAGGGTTTGGGGTCTTCACTCTGGGATGGTCACATCCTGCCAAGCAGTGCACCTGCCTGGTGGTCAGAGCACTGGAATGCTGAGACTCAGCTCCCAAACAGGGGAGTCCACCGCAGCGGGGAAACTTCTCGGGCTGCGTGCACTGTCGGGAAAATGTGTCTATTGGGAAGCTACCCGACCAGGGCAGGAGGCCTGGTTTCCATCCAAGCCTTGCTCCTGCCTGCACCGGGGTGCGTTCATGACTTTCACAGAAGGAGAGGTCTCTGGAGCGTGCTGTTGTAGAGGTGTTAACCTAAGAGCGGTGTGCAGTACGGCTACTTCACAAGGCCTGGGGGGAATGCCTGTGTCCCCCCACAAGAATAGCCCAAAGCTGCTCAGCCTGAGGCAGGCGTCCTGGGCATATGCAGCAGCAGGACTTTGTCCTGCGGGCTCTGGCAGTGATCAGTGCTAGCACTGGGCTGTTGCTGAGCCAGGACCCTGGGCACTTGGGATGCCTGGAGCAAGCAAGAGACTAGCAAGTGCTCTGTGTGTGTTGAGTCCAACTGGCTGATCTGGGACGACACTGTGTCATCAAGGTGTGCCTTCATTTCTGTGCAGAGAGGCTTTAAGGCTGGCATTCCCCTGCTTGGGTTGCTTTCCTGTGCTATGAGCTTGCACACGGGCTGCAGCAGGCCTGACATGCGACTTTAAAAATTTTTTTGTTTATTTATTTTATTTCCCCCCACCCTGAGGCACACATGGGTATTTGAGAGCCCTAAGTGCGACCTTCCTGACTTGTGCACCTAGAAAACATCTCCTGTAAAGCCTCCTGATGGGTAACTGCACGCTGGGTTTGCATGTGGCACTGAATGACATCTTGAAGTGTTGCTGGAGACATGGTAATTGAGTGGCAATTGTTCCCTCAAATGGTGAGCGTGACCAGCTGTTGTTATGTAGTCTCTCCTCCAGCCCTGCTGGGAAATCACACCACGATTATATTTCTGGCTTAAGACGTTTTTTCCCTAATCAGACTGGGCCTCGCAAAGAGGTTGCCACTTAGTAGTAATTACTTGCTTTAGAAGCTGAATGTCTCCTGAGGATTGCAAATAGGCGATTATCAAATTAATTAGTTAAACCAAGATGTGCTTTTGTGAAGCCAAGGCCTGCTTTCCTTGTGATCTGAAATAAAGGTTTAAATATTATTAAAACCGCGTACAGCTCCCTCTTGTCTCCCTAACGGGGAGAGAACTAGTTCTTTCCTGCAATGTTTTTGTTGGTAGAAAGGGCTGCTTGCAGCTCTGCTTGTTGCGGCACTTGTTGCTTTCCTTTGATGAAACCTGTTTCAAGCAAACCCCTGTCACTCTTCTTAAGGCACCTGTTTGTGCTGAGTGGGGTCTAAGGCTGCTTCTTGGTGGCTTCTCATGTTTTTATAGGCCAGAAGGGGAATGGGTTTCACTGTGGGTAGCTTGGTGCGACCGTAATGTACCTTTCTTGAACCTGTGCCTTCAGGGCACAGCTTAACCCATGGGACATCTGCGTAGCCATGTGTGTGGGCATAGGAGCTGGTGTGGAGCCTCAGTCCAGTGATGAGGAGATGCCTGTAAGCAGACTGAGGCATCCACTGATCAGTGGGTTAGCAGGGGCTGGAGGTCCTGGAGCTCTGCCACAGCCTGCTCCCGGGCTTTCCTTTCCCCTGGAAGTCCCTATGGACATTGGAAGTTCCCTATGCTGTGCTGAGGACCACACCAGCAATCCTGCTAAGCTAGGGTGGACTGTGTGGGGGTGTTTTCCTAAGAGCTGTTGGCTGCTGTAGTGCAGTCATCTAGCTAGCAGGCCTATTGCACAACTTCCCCCTAGGTCAGAAGATGTCCTCATCTGGCATCTAAAACATCTGTGTTTCTTCCAGCACAGCTGAGTCCTACTGGTACAAGTATTGAGCTTTCCCTGATTTGCACGACTGAAAATCAGCAGCACTCTGCTAATGGTGGCTCAAAGGCAGAGGTCCCTTGCCCGCCTCCTACCTCTGCCTGGGCTCTTTCCCAGTGCTTCTGGGGCTCTGCGTTGTGCTACTGCTTCTGCAGGCACCTGAGAAACACTGCAGCTCCAGAAACCAGATCCAACAAAGGGGAAGGGGGCGAGGGGTGAAAGAGATGTGGGTCTGAAGTTACAACCCCTGAAGTTTTCAGAACAGTTGGTGTACTGACCCCTCTCCCACGCCCTCCTCTTTCAACTCTGGGGAGGCCCCGCAACCTTCAAAGTTTGGCTCCCCGTCCTCCCTGCTGTCAGCATTTGCTGCCTCTTGCTGCATTTCCCCTCTGGGACAGGCTGTGCTTAGCAGTACTCAGCTGCCACTGGGTACCAAAGCGGTTCCCTCGGGGTAAAACTGCCCATCGGTCCATGCCAAGGACCTGGGTCTGCTGGGTGGGAAGCTGGAGCCCTCTGGTCAGAGTCAGCAGAGCTGGATGGCAGCAGACTTTTGCACTGGCTTCAGCAGTTAAACCAACCCAGAGGAAAGCGCAGGCCTCGCGCAAGAGCGAGGAGACAGTGCGGGACTGTGTCGGGGAACAAGCGCGGCATTGTTGCCAGCCTCAGTCAAGAAGGGCTTTTTAACACCCACTGAAGTGCTGGCTACAGCTGTCTCCCATGTGCTTGTGTGGGAAATGAATCTACAATGCAAGAGAGGAGGGAAAGACCACTTTGCAATTTAAAAAAGAGGAAAAAAAAAAAATGCACAAAGCTACACTGGGATCCAGCCACGAGTAAACAGCAATGCGATGTTCCCCCTTAGTGCGGTGCCATGGCTCAGGAAATCACGTCACTGCCTCCGGCTGGGATGGGGGTGAGCTGAACTCGGGTTCTTCAGCCTGGAAATCCTTGATGGGGGAAGGTGCTGCTCTTGTGTTAGACAACCCATTCCCCTTCTGCTTCGATAAATAAATACCTGCAGCCATTGACTCCCTGTGTCATCCTGTGTGGTGTTGGCTTGGGAACTTGTGGAGACCTTTCAGTTGTCATGTCCACAACTGAGCTGGCTGCTGCACTGCAAAGAGTGTGTGCTAACAGTTATGTAGTTTGAGTAGGACCTGGAGTGTTTGCTGTGTGGTCTGGGGAGCACCTGGCTCTATCCCTGGTCACAGAGGTGGGAAATGGGGTAGGAACCAGGTCTGGGCTGTGTGTGCTTCCATGGTGCCTTCATCTGCTTATAGGGATGCGGCAAACTCCTACATCAGCCCCTGGCAGTGCCACTTTTCTCTTTGTGGCCCTCAAAGAGCTGGACTTTGGTGGCTTGACAGTGTTTTACCTGCTAAGTCAGAGCTAAAGGAGAAGGCAACCTTGTGCTCCCAGGCCTGCACAAGCCACCTGAAGGGGTGAGGAAAGCCAAAAGCTGCTTCTCACCCTGGAGCTTCTGCAAGAGGTCTGGGTGCAGGAGACCTGACTGGTTCAGTAATAGCGTGGGAGCAGGTTCTGTGCTCCATCCCCTTCATCCTCCTGGGCTCTTGGGGTGCCCCAGCCCCTCCTGGTTTTGCTATGGAACATCTGGGCAGGAGAGTCATGGTGGATCTCTTCTACCTCCTTTGAGTCTGTGGCGGGGGCTGTGCTTCCAACAGAAATAGCTCGGCACCTCTGATAGCACGAGGCTTGTCACAGCCGGCTGCCTGCTGTGTGTGCTGGAGGGACACTGTGCTCTCTGCTCCCTTTCTCGGAGGGGGTGCAATCCGCAGGGAGACTCCCAGCACCTCCGGGAGGATGTTGCGAAGGTGTGGCCGAGTTTGTGGGCCGGGAGATGTTTGGCAAATAGGTGAAGGGCAAAGCTACTTTGCAAACGTAGCCTTGCGCGGACGGTGAAACCTGTGGTCAGAGGCTTTGCTGGGGTGCAGGTTCCTCGTCCTCCTGCTAAGAACGTGACAGAGAAAGAAAGGCTTTCCTGCATCCGCAGACAAGATCACAAATTCCTTTCATTGTTGTGGAAGACAACAACTAGATAGTGCCTGTGCGGGGTTGTTAATACCCTTTGCATTGGCAGGGATGCTCTCCTTCGCCCAGCTTGGGCTTACCAACATGACATGGGCTGGAGGTCCTCGCTGCCGTGGCGCACTGCGGGCAGTGCCCTGCTGCTGTAGGGAGAAGGCAACTAGCTGTTAGAGGCTGTGGGGAAGGCTCGGCAAGCAAGGACCCTTTGAAAGACAAACACTGAGCAGTGAGGCAGCTGCTCGGCTCTGGTCCACTGTCAGTGTCCCATCCCCTTTTAGGAGGACATGTCTTTCCACTTAAAGAAAGCAAACTGCATCTCTGCAAGGACTGTTGTCCATCCCTGCTGCCCACAGGAAGCTCAACAGCACATCAGGTAGCTGGTGTATTGAAGGGCTGGCTTTGGGACTGCTCAGTTGTTTGCTGGTTATGTCTGAAAAAGTGCTGTGAGGCCATGGTGTGCAGTGGGTTTTAGGGCCAGCTGCTGGCAGTCCTCCCTGGGAGAGGAGTATCTGAAGGTGTTCTTGAGCTGGGCCAGCCCGCGTGGGCTCTGCTGCTTGCCCTGTGGAGCAGGGCTTGGGAAGGCTGGGGGGGCTGCCCCTTGAGCCAAGGCAGCAGAGCTGTTTGGTAGCAGTCACTCCAGCTTCAGCAGACAAGTACCCTGTGCTCCTCTGCTGAGCTTGTCCACACAGGGGATGTCTTTCCTCTTGCTGCAGGTCCTCAGGTCCTGCCTGAGTCGCCCTTCCTCTTGGGATGGATTGGTTTGTGTGACCTCTCCCAGAAGTGGGGACAGCCAGGCACCAGCACCGTGGCCTCCTTGATGGAGGGTCAGTCCCTGCCGAGACCACGTGCTGCTCGGCTAAGGCTGGGGAGGCAGCTCCCAGTCCAAAGTCCTTCTGCCAAGCCCTGCGCCTCATGTCCAGGGCTCTGGGGCTTCACCAGCATGTCACTTCCCACCCCGCTTCCCGTTACACAAAGCCCTTGTGTGTCGGGGACCCCCCACGCCCCCTGCCTCTCCCCTCCCTCTCCGCCTCCGTGGCTCTGCCCTTTCCCGTTGTCACTGCTGTGGGCTGCTGCTGCCGCCTGTTTGGTGACCTTCCCCGCTGCTCCCACTGCTCGGGCAGTATTTTGGCCCCTGGCCATTTTAAACAATTAATGGAGGGGTGGAGAAACTTGCCATGTTAAATTACTTCCTCCTTTGGGAGGGGGTGAGGTCTCCACATCTCTCGCCTGATACCAATGCAGTTTGTTGCTGTTGCCTGAAGTGGTCACTGCCTCTGTTTTCCTCCTAGAAGTTAAAAAACAATATTGCAGAGCACTTTTTGTGTTTCTTGGTGTTTTGCTTAGCCTGCAGCACTGCCTCAGGATCTCGTGGAGCAGAGAAACTTCTCTGGACTTAGAGAAAAGCACGTCAAGAGGAGGCAGGGGGAAGGATTTTGCTGGAAACCTCTTTGGGAAGCTGGAGACCTTCTCGGGATGCCTGCCGTGGGTTCGTTCTCCTCTAGCAGCTATTCGGATCTTCCCGGGCGAAGGCAGCTCTCTGCCACGGAGCATCTGCATTAAGCGGGTCTGCGCGGTGGGACGCAGATAGCGACGATGCCGTAACACGCAGCCCGCGAGCATTGCTGGCTCTGCCTTGCGTCCGGTCCGCAAGGTCCCCGCGGGGCTGGGGAACGCAGCACCCTGTGCTCGCTATGCCCCTCCGCCGTCTAGCGCTGGAGTTGGCTGTCAGAGAAACCTTCGAGGTCCCCTGCTCAGCCCCGGTAGTGTCATGAGTTAGATTAGTTGGAGCTGTGCTGGGGGCGGTGAGGGCTTGGATTACAGTCCAGAACTCAAAGTGCTGCGGTGGTTCACGTCGGAGGAGAGAGGAGACGCCCTGTCGCACACATGGAGGAAAAAGAGAAACAACGCTGCCTTTGGAAGTGAGGGGGAATAAAGGAGGCTGGGAACATGGTAAGGAAATCTCTGCGAAGGGCTCTCGCCCTGGGCACGGGCAGGGGTGCGCGGGATGGAGCTGCTATCAGGGCAGCCTGCCTGGAGCCAGTGCACGGCGCTGACGCCGGGAGCGGGAAATGGCTCTCCTGGCACTTCCCGTTACTCGGAAGGCACGCTGTGCCCTCGGTGCCAGCCCTGGACCATGACTGCAGGGACACTGGTCCCCCCTGGGATGCCTGTCGGGGGCACAGCCCTGGAGCAAGGGGCTGGAACGAGGCAGCTCGGCCAGGGCCCTGTCTCTCAGGCTGCCCAGATGCTGGGCTTTCCTCCTGCCCTTGCTTTTTGCCAGCCCTGCTCTGGGGCTGTGGGCACTGTCCCCTCGCAGAGCCTGGGGAAGGGGAGAGCATCAGCTTCTTTTCTCCTGCCCGGGGTGGGCATCCAGAGGTTCAGAGAAACCCCTGGAGCTGGGCAAGGATCCTTCCCTTTCAGTGTCAAGTTCTGCACGTGGGGATTGTTGTTTAGGGAGGGGAGAGCCCAGTGAGCCCACGCCGGCAGCAGAGCACCCCGTCTCCCTGGGAATGGCTGCAGGACCGTCCCCTGCCCGGCCATGCTGGCCCAGCACTGGGGCAGCAGAGGCTGGAGGGCTCATTAGCCCTGTGGCAAGCTCCCATTGAGCACGGGTCTGGCTTCTGATGG